CATGTCCATGTTACGCTATTCCTGTGTAAGGAATCAATCGAGAACTTGGGGTGGGGAATTAAAGGGACGATGCACCTGGGTAAGATTAAAGAGATGAGCATGATGAGGATCATGGAAATCCATGTTGATGAAGTCAAAATCACTTTGTTGTAGCCAACCAAAGTAGTATTTAGATTAAACAACACTAGTTGTTTGAATGTGGGATTAAAAGAATGTTCCTACCGACGATTTCATATATCCGAGGGGAAATGTGGTACTAATCTTTGAATATATCTGAAACTTTGACCCGTCAAAAAGCGGTTAAATGCCATGGCTTGCTTACCTCTTCTGGTAGCGAGGCGATTAGATTTTAGTTCTTGGTGTTCCCCTGAATGCAGGTACGACACAAGTTCCTAGGGCTTCTTGATTGTTAGAGTGTTGCTGCTTTTATACAAATCTCCTCCTTTGCAAAAGTTTGACAGTATAGAAGATTTGTTGTGCAACTTGCCCGTGTGAGGAAAAGCAGGATTCATTCGATATGAGATCAATCAAACAGCATTAAAAATTAGCTTGACAAGTTGACATAGGTAATTGGGGGCGTAAGTTGTAAAGCTTCCATCCCAACAAAAAGGAGTAGTTGTCATTCGACAGCCATGTTTCGTGTATACACTTCCGACGCCTAGACCTGCTTATACCCTGTGCAGCATTGAATATGTACGAACCATGACATTATTGACAGCCCTCTTGGGTCAGATTATCAGACGGCATGTTTTGTTTCTTCCCAAGAGAGCAATACCTAATCTATTTTCCCCGCTTCGATTGTCTGCTCAAGACTCATGTATTGGAGTTGACTGTGGGCTTTCTCGTATGAATATCGGTAGCTGTACGAATGTGAAAAGTCCGAAGGCTGATCCATAAAATTCTCATCTAGAGTATTAATAGCATTATCAAAAGTTTAAAGTTTTATTGATGTTCTTTTCACAACGACGTCCATAGTTTCTTGAGAGCATTTCAAAATTCAAAGAATTTCTACTTCCGCTGCTATTGCCCGATAAGGAGATCGGAAGGACCAATAAATTAAGGTTTCCTTGCGAGTATTTGATATATTTTCCGAAATCAAAAGCGGTAGACCAAGTTGTGGAGGGATATCGATGGCCTTGGAGAGTCCCCGAAAATCCCTGAGACTCCGCAGCAAGATCTTGCTTGGAAGTAAATTAGCACAAGCACGATGAAATGTGTGTGTACTGTAAAACATATATCGCCAATGTGTATAGGTATATAGGCAATATCTCTTTGAACGGAAAATGTCTTGTGAATTGTCGAAAATGAAATGAAAGAGAAAGGAGTTCATTCTTTAGGTCCATTGAAAAGGTTGCGAATTCATGATACATATCAGATGTGAGGTTGAGTGTCAGAATATATATTAATGTCATATTGATGATATCAAGAAGCAAAAAGTTTATCGCGAGGCTATGAATAAAGTTCAAGATACTGTGGCTGATGCGGGGTCACTTGATAATCGTGGCTGATGATATGTAACCTGAGGCTTCCTAAATAATTTTTGGCAGACGAAGGGCTTTCAACAAACGCGACTGTCGATTTGAACGCGCTGGTAAGGGAAGAAGTTTGTCCAAATATTCTGCTTTTTGTTTGGTTTGTTCGATACCTCTGCAGTTTGTTTCAGCACTCTTTTGATATAGGAAACCTCGCACATCTTCAACCATGGCGATGAGTAAGTTTTTACCTGCTCTCACCGAGCATATGTCTTAAAGAGCTTCTGCTAACCACCCCGCTATGTAGATATTGATATGTCACAGGGTAAGTTGTATCTGTACACACCACCAAATCGCCCTGGAAGCTTACAAGAAATATATAGCTTCTGTGATCAAGGATGAGCAAGGAAGACCTTTCATCGTTGTTAGAGAGTAGGGATTTAACTCTTTTCTGCCGAAAGTGCAAGTACTGATGAAGTTATAGTCAAGGAAAGAAAAAGAGACAACATGGAAACGAGGCAGTCAAATCACATATTCTCGCAGCGAGGACAGTAGCCAATATTGTCAAGACCTCCCTTGGTCCCCGAGGCCTCGATAAGATCCTTATTTCCCCAGATGGTGATATTACAGTCACAAACGACGGTGCTACCATTTTGGGACAGATGGAGATTCAGAACCACGTTGCAAAGCTTCTAGTCGAGCTCTCAAAATCTCAGGATGACGAAATCGGTGACGGCACAACTGGTGTGGTAGTTTTGGCCGGTGCCTTGTTAGAGCAAGCTGCCGAACTTATCGACAAGGGAATTCATCCCATCCGTATAGCTGATGGTTACGACCAAGCTTGTGATATTGCTGTTGCGGAGCTGGATAGAATTGCCGATACTATCGAATTCACAAAAACACAAAAAGAGAACTTAGTTAAGGTTGCAAGGACAAGTTTGGGAAGTAAAATCGTCTCCAAGGCCCACGACCAATTTGCCAACATTGCCGTTGATGCTATCTTATCTGTTGCTGATTTGGAGCGCAAGGATGTTGACTTTGACTTGATCAAGGTTGATGGTAAGGTCGGTGGATCTCTCGAGGATTCTTTACTAGTTCAAGGTGTTATTGTCGACAAAGACTTCTCGCACCCTCAAATGCCTGATGAAGTTCGAGACGCCAAGATTGCTATTCTCACATGTGCATTTGAACCACCCAAGCCAAAAACCAAGCATAAGCTCGACATTACCTCCGTTGAAGAATTTAAGAAACTACAAACATACGAAAAGGACAAGTTTACCGAGATGGTTCAACAAATCAAGGATACTGGTGCCAATCTTGTTATCTGTCAGTGGGGATTTGATGATGAGGCAAACCATCTTTTATTACAAAGTCAATTACCAGCCGTGCGATGGGTTGGAGGACCAGAGATAGAATTAATCGCCATTGCAACAAACGGTAGAATCGTACCAAGATTTGAAGATTTATCAGCTGAGAAACTCGGAAGAGCTGGACTAGTCAGAGAGATGAGCTTTGGTACTACCAGGGAGAAGATGTTGGTCATCGAAGAGTGTGCAAACACTCGTGCCGTTACAGTCTTTGTTAGAGGAAGTAACAAGATGGTATGTTGTATAAGAATTCGACATTTATATCGTTACTAATCGGTTAAACAGATCATTGATGAGGCGAAACGCTCCCTCCACGATGCTTTATGTGTTGTTCGTAACCTCGTTAGAGACAACAGAGTTGTTTATGGTGGCGGTGCTGCAGAAATCGCATGCTCATTAGCCGTTGAGGATGCCGCTGTTAAGTCGCCTGGTCTTGAGCAATACGCCATGCGCGCTTTTGCCGATGCCCTCGACGCTATCCCAATGGCTTTAGCAGAAAACTCCGGTCTCTCGTCCATCGAAACCCTTGCCTCTGTCAAGAGTAGACAAGCCACCGAGAAGAACACAAGATTGGGTGTTGATTGTATGCAAACTGGTAGCAATGACATGAGAGATGCTTTCGTTATCGATCCATTGATCGGTAAGAAGCAGCAATTGATGTTGGCCACTCAACTTTGTCGTATGGTATTGAAGATCAATAATGTCATCATTGCTGGAAACGATGAGAATGAATTTTAAAATGGAAAAAAATTGCCATAGTAAAATAGACTAGGATTCCATGATTAAATAGATTCATTTAAGCGCTTCAATTTGATACACCTATTAATGACAGGAATTTTGAGGCTATCGCCGCTGCTAATTGAATGACCCTGATGTGCAAATGTTTTTGTGGTTCACCTATCATTGGGGATAGCTGCGAAGTGAAAAGCTTAGGTTGCCATGATTATCTATGATATTACTACATGGGCAACTTGTAAGAATTGAAGTTTGAAAACGTAGATCAACGACTGGTCAGTTACTTCCCATCTTATTTTGGCTCGCATATTCCATATTTGCAACTTCCCGATTTGAAATCAACACAAAGTCTATCACGAGTAAGCTAACATCTGAACCTTCCCGGATACAAACGAAGATGGAATCAGAGACGTGAACACTTTACTGCCTCTCAATCAACAATCGACAATCAACAAAATTGACGCAAAGCCTCGACCTTTACAACCTTTTACATTTGCCTGCGACTGTACATACCACTATTCCATTGCCGCAAAGCGAATCACAGATAATACTTTCTTAGCCATGACTTTGCTCACTCCTCATCCTAAAAAACTACACCTCGTATCTATCTAGGCTCATTACACATTCATACTTCACTGTTACCTCTTACTTGCTTTTTTTCAATCTTGAAACAAGTATTAATAAGGCAACTGGTTCCGGGTATGTACCCCATATGATTCACAGTCTGAGCCTCATCCGTTCCTTTATTTCAACTACATCAATTTTGTCAAACATCGAATAATGACGAGGACAACCAATAGGATATTGCAAAACTCTTCAGATCAAAGTCGGAGAGCTCTTCACAGAGATTTTATTCGAGGAAATCCCACAACTTGTCCTATTTTATTCCACTTTATTGACAGTCAGGGTCAAGTGCATTCACTTTAACTTGGAAAGTGGCAGCCAGCAGTGGAAACTACACAACAAAGTCATATTCAAGACCAATAGAAACGCCATAATTATTCCAAAGCCCCCTTCTCATTCAGTATTTGCAACTTGCAGAAGATTTTACTCCTCAAGTGGAATTTCTTCCTAGTGTCATTCTTTCCCCTTAGCTTGATTTCTCGGCACACTTAGGGTCGGCTTGGTCAGGAGTTGAGACTTCTTTCTTCATTTCAATGCTTCTTCCATCACACATACACCTCTTCACGTACTCCTTTGACAACGATATCCAAAAAGAAACAAGACTCTTTTGAAAGTGGCACACCTTTAAAGTACACTGTTTCGTTTATCACGAATCTCTTTAGGATACCATAATTCCTCTGAGATTAATTCTTCGAATCTATCTTACAATTCAAAGATTCGATAATCACTGTTCTTACTTTTTATATTGTTTCCTTCCTACTTGCTATAGTGGAGATAATTTAAGTCTGTCCCCTTTATCAACATGTCATTCTCCAGCTTCTATGATCAACCACTTCGACAAATTCTTTCCGAAGTCATTAAATTAAGCCGCCGCGAAAAAGCCCGCCACGATGCGAATATCTTAGCCACGTCAAGCAAAGCCCTTCCAGACATTGCACTCGAAATTCCACAAATTGACTTCGACAACGCTACTCCAAAAGTAAATGAACCTTCTCTGGTTGGCATCGATCGGGCCCTTCGCCAGATCGAGAACGCACGGAAACTACTTGAATTTAAAGAATCTGCAACAAATGGTACCGTTTCAGTCATTCCTATCAAGACCAAAAAATATGGCACTGTTCCAGCTGTTGCCGACGCAGGGCTTGATCGAATCAGGGCCGCTCACTCTATATCTGACATTACAGATTCACCAATTGAGGCATCTCGGAGAGTATTTGGGAGTGAGGAAACTATATCAAATGACGCTGTTCCACTTGTTCCAGTCAAATCTAAAGCGCGCAATTCTGTTCCGGTTGCGACTGATGTAGGACTTCACCAAATCAAAGACGCCCAATTTACATCTGATGTTACAGATCCACAAAAGGCCTCTCAGGTAATAGTTGGAAGTGAGGAAGCTGTATCAAACGAGGCGATTTCAATTGTTCCAGTCATGTTCGAAGAGCATAGTGCCGTTACAGTGGCTACTGATGTGGGACTTGACCGAATTAAGGCCGCTCTCTGTACTCCTGATGTTACAGATTCAAGCGTCAAAGTCGCCAATTCTACTTGCGACGTCGCAGTCTCGCCTGTTAAAGTCTGCAAGTACTTCTTGAGTCGCAGAGGATGCAGATACAAGCATAACTGTCAATCTTTTCACGATCACAATGCCATGGCTAATCCTAGGGAACAATGGGCGGCCAACGATGCCAAAAACAAGCTTCAGCAAGTTCGCACTAATCAACAGACTGCCTTTATGAGAGAAGTCCTTGCACTTAAGAGCAACAATGCAAACATCCCTGTTGCTGTCGCTAAACCTTCAAAGCTCTCCCCAGAACGCTCATTAAAGAAGAAGAGGCCAGCTTGCAAAAACTTTCAATCTTCTGTTGGCTGTGTTCGGAAGAATTTTCCATTTCCACACGACGAACCGGAAAAGCTTATTGACGACACCGTTCCTGGCGAACTCCTGGAAGTTTCCAACACCATCTCAAGCAGTCAAGTTCCCAAATATCCTAAAGCCATATTACACAAACGCAAGACCAAGAAGAAATCTCCCAAAGCCACGGTCGTCAAAACTTCTGAGCCTGAGCAGGTTTTTTCGGCTGCCAAACCTATTGTATGGGGAGGCAATCCTAATTTGGGTGATGAGGCCTATTGCACCAGAGCCATTCTCCAAATATTTGGGAAATTCGCTCCGACGAAAGAGGAAGCTATTGAATGGTGTAAAGAGATGGGCGTAAATCGAAACTTTCGGCATTTCAACAACTTTGACAATCTTACTATGTGGGGTCGGGCCATCAATCTAAATACCGATGAGTTTCTGATCCATATCGGATATCTACCAGAAATACCCGTGCAATTCACATTCAAGATGCAGCTCTATATCAAAGAACTTAGAGCCGCTTATGAAGCAGAACAGGCGAGGCCAAAGTATGATACTTTCCATCGTTTCGATGACCTTCCTAACGAGCTGTGTATGAAGATCTGGGGGTTTGCAGTTAGAAGTGGGAGGACTCTTACAGTCAGTCTTAACCGGGATACGATCTATACTGAAGGAGGTCCTGGTTTATTCAAACGTCGACGTGGAACTTCACCTTCACCCTTATGGCTTGTCAACAAGCAAGCGCAGAAGGCATGCATGTTGGATAAAAGCTGTGCATTCTACTTTGGCTGCGATTATTTCTCCTCGCGATTCGATACATTATTCCTCAACGATTCCGCTGAAAATTTCAATCTTTATGCCACTCAAATTGCCCAGTGGAGAGGCAACGTTGTCCAACGATTGTCCTTTCCTCATTACAGACTTTGCGACATCACCGACATGCGTCTCTTTGCCACCAGTCTCTACAAAGCTTTCCCAAATCTTATTCGCCTCGAATTCAGTCTTTCAGATGGGGAGTACTGGTCCAAATATCGAGAAAAGGCTCATAAAGTCGTCGAAGGAGCTGATACTGAAATTGCCAAGGTATATAAGAGACGTGGTGCTAATATCAAATTACCACGTGTTCGTTTTGTCCTGGTACCAGAAGAACAAGCTATGGGAATGGGTATCGGTGGCATTGGTTGGTAGATGGGGTTGGCTGTTGATCTGGAGGTGGTTTGCGAGGAAACTGTGGAGTTCTTGATTGTTCTTGATAGTACTTGGGTTGGATTTTATGCAGAAGGGATGGTTGTTAAATAGTTATGGATGAATGTCTTGAGTCGAAATGGAAGATTGACATTATTGAATCACTTGAAAACGGTTGACTTTGCAGAAAGGTTGGTGACACGGATGATACAAATGCGTGCCTGTGATTTTGGACGGGATGGTTGTTGTTATGATATATACTTAGCTGAAGAGCAACCACGAATGAAATGTAAGTTCACGCCACTGATATGGAGGGCAATTGACTGAAACAGATTTTTTTGTAGACATTTGTTTTGTTAATTAGAACCTACGATTTGTGTGCATATAAAGTTATAAAACACTACTTGAATCCTCTCATCTTCCCTATCTATCCTAATCCGCATCACCCTTCTCACTTTGTTCACTCCCATCCTCCCTTCTTTTCCCTATTGATCCACTACTCTCACTACTCTCACTCCTCCCAACGCATTTCCCACTACACAAAATCGACAGTCCTGATATTTGGAGACCACCTCTGTCTAGTGTCCCTTATATTGTATCGATTGATGCACAGGATCTCTGGGGAATTAAATTGTTCATCTAGTAGGGATCCACAAAATAATCACGAATAGTGAGAGGCGAAATGTGATCTCAGTAATGTTAGCCACCGTCTTTCTCGCTGCTATGGCCACCAGATCTTAAGCTCATAAGCCCTCTTGTAGATCTGACCATATTGATATGATGTGTATTCGACCGTTTAGTACAGCAAACCTCCTAAATCCCGTAGCAGCAAAATAGCATACCCGTGAGCGCCCTTGGCCAGCAGGGCGCCAATTCATGTCTTGCTTACCTCTTGGGCGACTGACTTTTAGTCTCAACCTCAAGTTGACTGCTGAACCAATATTATCATTCTTTGAGCCCAAGAACCATGGCCACATTAGGTTCAATCTTAATGTCGAGAACATTGGGAGCGTTAAGAATACTTGACTTCAAGCTTCTAGACAAACCATACAATAGTTGAAACAAAATCATCACGAGAAACCTCGTTAATTTGACTCTGATCCAATCATCTTCGCTCCAAATTTTCGAAGTGATTGATCACAGAATATACCTCATTGTGAGTATCCAGTTTGCAAATTCGACAACTCTAGAAGAAGATGTATTTCGTTTGATATTTTAACTCGCTGAATTAGTAAACGCTGCCGAGCCAGCACAACTCTTGTATTGACGAAGATGAGAATAACCAAAACTTCATACAACCATCTTGAAACAAGTACAGACAAAATTATATCAATATCATCCAGAGTACTAACCATCATCTACCCCTCCCACGTGATCCTCGGACAACCTTCCCCATTCCACCCCCACCCCACCACGCCCTCAATCCCAATCACGTCATTGGTTTCATCTACATCGGTCCGCGGACCAAAATTTCACAAACTTCTGACAAAAATGCATCATTGAGAAGAATTGCATGTAAGAGTCATTCATCACTAGACTCATCACTAGATTATCAAACATTTTCATAATCTTTTCCGAGAAAATTATCTCGGGGTAAATTTCCAATTGGAGATTTTGAATTGATTGCCAACTGGATTTATATATCTACGTATATATATATACATATATTCAATTTCTCTCATATATAAATCTTTCTTCCTTCCCTCCCTCCTCTACAGACAACATCGATAGACCAACAACACACACATACACACACTTCAAACTCACCACACTCACCCCATCCTCAAAATGACCATAACCCTCCACTTCGTGCGCCACGCCCAAGGTTTCCACAACCTCTGCACCGCCAACCACACCCTCCCAGACCCGCTTCTCACCCCCCTCGGAAAGGAACAATGCACGACGCTCTCTCAAACCTTTCCCTCCCCCCAAAAAATAACCCACCTCGTCGCCTCCCCCCTCCGCCGCACCCTCTACACAGCCCTCTACTCCTTCCCCAGCGCCACCGCGCGCGGCATCAAAGTCATCGCGCTCCCCGAAATCCAAGAAACATCTACCCTTCCCTGCGACACCGGGTCTGCACCTGCGGCACTCGCGGAGGAATTCGCCGGGAGCGTGGATTTGGGACTTGTGCATGAAGGGTGGAATAGTAAGAGTGGGAGATGGGCATCCAACGCGCCAGCGATTGAGAAGCGCGCGCGCGAAGCACGGGTTTGGTTGCGGGAATTGGGGATGCAGGCGGAGAGGGAGGGGACCGAGGATGTGAATATTGTGGTGGTGACGCATGGAGGCTTTTTGCATTATTTTACCGATGATGTATGTGCTCTTATTTTTTTATATTATACTTCTGTTATCTATCCTTCACAACTCGAAATTAAATCTAAAACTAACCTTTTTTCAAATAGTGGGAAGATTCCTCCCTCTTCGTCGGAACCGGCTGGTCTAATACAGAATTCCGCTCCTATCATTTCCGCGCCGCCGATTCCAGCGATCCCAATGCCGCAGTTCAAGAGACGAAAGAAAGTAGAGAGAGAAGGAAAGGAACGGAGAAACCGCTTACGGATGATGAACAGAGGAATTTGAGAGCTGCGGCGGAGAGTGGATGGCAGCAAGATGGGTTTCAACAGAAGGTGAAGAATGAGGAGGGGAAGGAAGTTGAGGTTGCTGCTTAGGGGGTGTGGATGATATAGATCGTATAGGTATAGGTATAAGGAGATGGATGAAGGTTTAGGACTTATATCGTTGAAAGAAATTATAGATTGCATATAGATTTTGAATAGATCGGACAGACTCGGGTAGATTTAGATGGATAGACAGATAGTTCGCATGCTAGAAAGCAATCATAGAATTCACTTATTAGTAAACGGTGCTATGTAAACTAGAATCATAGCACATATACAGACAAGTCATTATGTTCATATTCCTTGAGTATAATCCCGCACTGGACAACCCTTCAAAAAGCCAAACACACCAAGGACTTCTTGACAGATATATATTCATTGATAATCAATGATCTCATACTGTATACCTATATACCTCTCTCCCTTCTAGCCTCGTCACCCCCAATCACAACCCCCCTTCATCAATCCACTCTCTGACCACCGTATCCCTCTCCACCGCCCCATCCCATCCCGCATCTCCAACCTCCATCTCAGTAACCCTCTCCTTCGCAGTCTCATCCGCATCACAATCTTCATCCCATTGCACTCTTTCTTTCAATTCATGCATTACTACACTTCTTCTCATTAACTTTGTTAATTCTTGAGCTTGTTGTTTAAAGATATTGTTTTCTTTTTCTCCTTCATCTTTTTCTTCAATCTTTCCCTCATCCTGTGATATGTCTTGTGATATATCATATGCTTTCTCTCCAGCAAACAGAAAAGAAGAGTAAGTAAACAACGATCTTGGTATCCGTAACGATGATTTAGCAGGTGGGAAGAGAAGATTTGATTTTCGGGATTCGAAAAGGGCTTCATGTGGCTCTTCTTCTTCTTCTTCGGTTGCGTACTCGTTTGAGAGATCCGGGTATGGAAACTGGGGATCAGGATAGGGGGAGAAGTCGTTGGCTTCGATAAAATCTGTACTTTCAGAACTAGATGTCTCAGTGGGTGAAATGGATGAGGGGGGTGGAGAAGCGGGGGGAGGAATGGGCCATCTTTGTGGAACCGAGATGCCGGAGGTGCGAAAGAAGAGGATGGGCGAAGCGAAGGGATCAAAGGTCTGAGATGGAGATGAAAAGAGACGAGTTTTGAGGGCGTGGAGGGTCAGAGTTGTCCAGGGAGAGCTTTCGTATAAGTCTAATGTTGAGAGGCGATTGTAGGAAAGATTTTGTGATGAATCTGCGGATGCAGAGTGAAAGATTGAGGGGTCAGGTGTGGTAGAGATGGGAGTCCAGTCAAAAATTCCATTATGCACTATGAGAGAATGGATCTTAGTGGGTGAGAAGGAAGAGGTAAACGATTCTGTGAGGGCGAGAGAGGTGGCAAGAGTACCGCCAAGGTATGATCCATAGATTAGAAGTGGTCGTTGGATTGGTTTTGGATTGTTGTAAAAATAGGTTGAATCCAGAGGTTTAGGCTCCTGTAACAGAGAGGGCAGGTAACTTTTCAATAGCCAACTATACGTTTGAAGTGTATCATGAACTGTGGTAGCGGTCAGTAAAAGCCATGGGATCACTTAGGAAGTCTCTTTTCGGTAAAGAACCGAGAGATTGTACGCCAGATGACATGATTGAGATTGTTTACTTACGTGGTATGGGAAATGCATGAGATCTTTGTTTGCGAAATGAAGTTTTAGGGTCATGAGACCAACGGTAGGGTATGTTAATGACAGGATATGAATTCAATAACCATGAAGGTGGATGAAATGATGAAAGTGGAGAAGACGGGTATGGTGGTAAGTAGATAACCAGAGGTGTTTTGGGCGAATTGCGAAGGAGAAATCCATTGTGAATTCTGTATGCATAATATTAGCTTGATTGTCATATTTTTCAGAAACGCCATGGAAATATGTCACTAACCAATGTTGAACATGTACAAGAACCCTTAAGCGATTGGCACGAAGGCGTCACCTACTGTTACTTATTTGGTGGATACTTACACCACAACCTTCTATCCATTGCGTTGGTAAATCACCCATCATGGCGAACAAACTTGCTCGAGAACTCACCCGAAGCCAAGACAGCTACCAGGGGAGGAAGACCACTTGATCGTTTTCCACACGTGATGCGTGAATTATCTCGAATAATTTGGAATGCCATACCGGGGGTCTTTGCTTCACGGTTCGGGCTAGAACAATGACCGGATAAATAGAAAACATAGATTGACAACCTACTCGACGGTAATGTGTCCCGAGATACCACAAGCGATATCATATTTTTCCACTTGTAGCGGCGCAGCTGTTGCCAATTGTCTCAATTTTTGCGCTGGCCATTTCTTGATTGTAACTCGTGCAAATATGCGACATGTGCGAATACTGTGCCCATATTCATATAAGCGCATTACTAACGATTTCGACTCTGTGATGTTGACTGTAGGAATAAAGTACGATATCAAATTTGCGAGATACCTTGCGCGACACTACCTACGTCTTCAATCAGCGGTACCCTTGAGACCCGTCGTCTCGTCTTGTTATTTTGGAAGCCTTTGAGGAATTTCATTAACATGCAATGCAGCATAGACTCGTTTGGTGGTCGCCAAATCTATAGCTTGCGCACGAGGTTGGTTGAATGGATGGAAGAGCGTTGACTGAAAATTATCGGCTTGACTTTCTTGCATCGATTGAAAATGGATACCTAGGTAAACTTTTTTTTGGGCTGACAAGGGATAGGTGACGCTAAGTCTGATGGAGTAATAAACTACCAATAATCATCCTTTTTACTGAAACATTACTAATTTATTAGTTATAATAATTTTATCTATCTACCACCCAAAACAGTGGGTCGGTAGATGGCCCAATTATTTCTACGTATGCAAATTGCCTCCCGCGCTGATACATACTAAGTACAGAGTGCAGTGATAGTACGTACCTGTCATGATGATTTGCTCAAGAAGACCTTCCAATGATTTCACCCCTCGATCCACATATCATTTTCCCCCCCATTTCAATCTAATCCCTTGTCCCCTGAGCCAAATAATCTGAAACTAACTCAATTGAGCTGACAGGCAAGCTCGCTAAGAGACAGAGACAGAGAAAGAGAAAGAGGAAGAGGAAGAGGAAGAGGAAGAGAAAGGGAAAGCTTGGGCATACAACTTGAGAACTTGTACTCCCAAGGTAAGAGAATTGAAGCGCCGCATGGGGGGCAGTGCAAGTAGGAGTCGATACACAGCATTAGCATGCAATACTAATTATAAAAGAGTAAGAAGGGCTGTCTGCGTCGAACAATGATTGGTCAATGAGGCATTTTAATACAGACATTTTTCGAAGATACGATGTGACGAATCAAGATGGAGGATATAAAGCGTTGAAAAAAGGGTTCCCATACATATGATAATGCATATGATACATGATATACGAGTATCATACTGTCCCTTTTTATCATTGGGAGACCGTACCTACATATGATTAGATCAGCACAGCCCATGGAGAGTCATACAAGCACGAATGACCCAAAAGCAAGCATGTATCAGAATCATCTACACTCATGTACATGTACATACATGTGCATCACTCAATCCCTTAAAGGATTGGTATCACGCCCAGCCCTGTTGGTTAGAATTGCGATGTTCCCCATTCCCCATTTAGTAAAGAAGACTTACGCTACCAGTGCCGCAGTCTTGGCCGCGCACAGAATGCTCGACTATTCATTGCCTTCATGTTGGCCGAGAAATCAATCAGTCAATCAATCAATCAATCACACTTGAACCCATATGAGAAGAAAAGGGGAAAATGATCCTCTACCTGGGTAATCGATGAGTGTATATATACACATACATATATATATATATATATATATAGAAAAAGCAATATATCTTCAAACATCCTTCATCAACTCTCCACGTTGTATCAGACTTGCACCTTGCCTAGTACTTACCTCATCTCACAATATAAAAAAACGCGTAAGATTCATGATTCAACATTTCACAGCATCTCCATAATTGAACATCTACCTAGTTAGCGGCTGCATGGATCCTGTCTACCATTGCACGGACTTCCAAATCCTTCTACCCCTGCCTAACCTCACCATCCTCTTCTCTCATTGGTCCATATTTGGATTCCAGATTCACAAATCGAACATTTGAACTCAGACTTCACTCAAGAGAGAAGTCAGAAAAGTCAATCTCCAATCTTCTCTCCCCTTAACGCTTGTTCAACTCCACCAAAACCAACCTTGGGTATTGTGGACGCAGTCAAAAAACATTGAATTCCCTCAATCTACAATTCATTTCTCAATACAGACATTACACATGTTCTTTTCTTCTCCTTTTCATTTATCATACTTTCTCTACAGAGAATCTTCGTATCTTTGACTTACATAATTCATCTTCACTCCTGGTGAGTACGCCCTGTGCTTTACGTACCCCGTTCGCATGGAGTTCAACTTAGCCTACCTTGTTCCAACAACTCACGATATATATCTAGCTATCCAACTCTCACTATCCAAAAAAACAACATTCAAAAATAGCTTTCTTCATTTCACGAACTGTCAAACTACCCATTCACTTCTTCATGGCTTTCAGTTGAGATAACCCTTTCAAGTTGCGTCCAGCAATTATCTCACACAAACTCTCCATCGAGACGCGCACGAACACTCTCTAACCAACCAACAAATTCACCTACAACATGGCAAAAAGGAATTGGGCAAAATCATGCTGTGGAGTGATGAACAGCATTCTAGCAGCGCTGGCATTGTATGGGACTCTGTACCTAGCAGTACTCATCTTCGAAAGAGGAGCTCTTCCAAAATCGCCATCTGAACTTTACAAGAAACCCTCCCACGGATCGTCTTCTGAACATGGTTTTGCACCTGTACCTCCTCCACCTGCGACACTACATATCGAAAAGATCAATCCAAATGCAAATTGGTTTAACAGACCTGAGAGTTTGGTTGTTCCCAAGGATGACTATTTGGGAAAACGACCACACATCGATACGGTTGCGAACCTAACAAAATTAGTAGAAGAATGCAGAGGATCATACAATAAAATTGAGAAAATGCCATACGTTTTCGACTGTTTGAATTATATGAATGAGGGCGAGAAGGAATATTATTACATGCCGGCACAAGGAGAACGAGCAAGCGAGCAGCCCCCCAAGTTGGCCGAGTATCTCAATTCAGATGGTCGGGATAACTCTTTGGCTCAGTATCCATCGCAGAAAGCTTATTCAAAGTCATCATCTGGTCAATGTAATGGGCCCATTGTACCATATCACACTTACTGGACTGGCCCTGCGACTTGGAGAGTGGAGCTTTTTATAAAAAGTTACTTCTACACGCAAAATCTTCCTTGCTCAAGGTTATTCATATGGTTGGATGGAGACAGGGACCCAAATGCAATCGACAAGTTTATGACCCGGGACCCGCTCTTCAAAAAGTTTGTACCATTCGTCGAAAGGGGGGACATAACTCTGAAATTGTGGAATTTTCCCTCTAGAATACCACTGCCACCTGGAGATAACACGGATGGACGTGGATATTACAAAAACTCAGGAAAACCTAATGCAAAAGGCGAGGTTCTGGTAGCGGATGGACTTATCCGAGATTCAAACGATCAGGAATGGTTGATATTGACAGAGAAGCAAATGACATTCTTGCCGGTTGCAGTTTCAGATGCCATGAGATTTGTTGTTTTGCACATATATGGAGGATCTTATTATGATATGGATGTTGTCATGCTACGAGATATGCGACCGTTACTCATTGGAGATGAACATTCATTTGCAGAACGTTGGGGAGGACACTCCAGTCCTGGTGACTATAACACTGCGGTGATGTCTCTGACAGCCAATTCTTCTTTATCCTCTTATCTTTTACGAGGTGGGGTGAGGATGGGATTAAACTTTCATCCTCGAATCATTGGCGTTATGGCTGTGAAGGATGGTCGCAACCAAGAATTCAACATGTTGGAGACTGCCGCTTTCGACCCGATATGGACCGAATTCAACTGGGATAGGTTAGGAAGATGTACAGTTCCATGTATCAAAGATTATGGACAAGTGTTTAAAGGAAAAAATGCTTTCCCAAATCATGATGAATGGGAAAGCTATGATGGACCACAGCTGAAGCTAGCCTCCGAGACCAAATCAAAACATTTCTGGGAAATGAGGTCTATTGAGGAAGCAGAAGTTGAGAAGCGTGAAGTTACAACAGAACGAGCAACAACGGGAAATGGTCTCGAAATGGTGACTGTTGATCGAGCAGCATTAAGCAAAGCCGAATATAAATTGGAAGAGGACAAATATCCACCTACAAATCGAACTCTAGAAAACTTCTTCCGAGGCGCATGGACATATCATATTCACAACCAGGTAGGTTTACTAAAAAGAAATTGGACAAGAATTTGGCTAATAATACTAGTGGCGCAAAAATCCTGAACCATCATCATGGCTTAATGTCATTCAAAGAGCGCAAGATGGTTTCTTCTCTGGTTCTCGCACCAATCCATACGGCGAGACATGCAAGGTCTTGAATTACCTCAATACGAAATATCTTGGGAATACGCATAAACTATCCGACATGGATATTTCGTGAATATCAACACCCAAGACGGGTTCTTCTTCAACGCAATCTTACGAACAACACAGTAAATATGTGTATGAAGTCAATGTTAAAAATAAAATAAAGCATTTAATTGGTGGGCGCATGCACATATACTCGGATTTGAGTAATGGTACACATATACACGGGGCAAAGACATATACAATTGTGCATAGCGGGCGTTTGATGTATTCGTACATTAGTTTTTTAGATCCTTTTACCCAATGGATCTGGGTATAGGAATGGAGTTTATTTAGGGAGTTATCACATGGATACGTACATATATAGAAAATATATGAGACGGGTTAGGATTTAGCAATGCTGTGGGAATTCGCAGTAGGGAGAAGAAGGGATGGCGATTTGTGTCTATCGGCTACCTATCTAGCATTGTATCGTATATAAGTGATTGGATGGATTGGGATGGGATGGGATGGGGTGTTACTTGAACATTGCGGGTAGAATGTTTAGAGAAGTTATATACCCTTGAGTATTTTGTAGGAAAGATTAAGAAATATGAATATGAAAATGAAAATGAAAATAAAAATAAAAATAAAAATGAATCGTATCTTGTGATGGGATTTTCTAATGTGGAATTTTGTTTTTGGGATTGAGGTATGGGCTTTCCAGACGGGAGATATCGTATTGTAGATGGCGCGGTATAATCTCGATGCGATGAATGACTGAATGAATGACTTGGTAGGGATTCTTCGTTAGGTCAGGTTTTGGGTTTGGGGTATAGATGGTACTGTTGGCGTTGGTATAAGTGTTAATAGCGTGGGACGTTGTGTCGAGACAAAATAAAAATAAAGCGGATTTGGAAGGGAATGTTGTGATGTGTGATGTGTGATGTGTGATATGTGTGTGTATTGATATTTAGATTAGGGAGGTTAGGTATTTATTAATGGGTTGGAGAAAGAAGGAGGGAGGGGTGTTGCTGGATTTTGTTGATGGATTCCGTTGATGGATTTCGTTGATGGAGTGAGTTTAGTGTATATGTATCAAGTTTATAAGTAGATTGGATGCTAGTGGTTTCTTTTAGAGGAGAGAGGGTTGGAGGATAACTTTTGGGGATTGGGGGTTGTGGGTTGTGGGTTGTGGTTTATGGTTTGTGGGTGCTCGGTATTTTTGAGTTGGTTTGATGCTTATTTATCTATCTATCTCACGTTCTTCAGTTTCTGGTGCGCGGAAATTTTTGTAGTGGGTAGCGAGGTAGGTTCGAAGTAAGGCTGTCTATCTAATAAATTAATGTTTAGGTAAGATGAGATTGAGATTACCTTGATGAGAGATCTATAAATACCTACTCCCTACTTCCTACTTCCTAGTCATTGTGATCTTTGGATTAGGTTTTGACTTTCGGGTTTATGTTGTAAGACAGAGAGGAGAGGAGAGGCGAGGCGAGGCAGGTTATTTTGCGCGGTGTTGAGCTATCGTTCTTTCTTGACGTTTTTTTTTTTTTTTTTTCATCACGGAGGTACAGTATATGTATAGATCTTGGATTTAGGGGTTTATGATGCGCGAGTGTATTTTTCTTGGGGAGGGAAAGGGGTGAGGATAGGATTGGTTTGGTTTGGGTATGGATAGGGGGTTGAGTTTGTTGAATGAGAGATTTGTGAGAATCCTGATTGATTGAGTGTATCGGTCTGTCTATCTGTGGGTTTCCTTCCTCCTGTGCTTTTGAATTCGATGATCTATGGTTTGAGCGATATACATATTCCATCTTCCATATTTCTTTCCATACGACTAGGTCGTAGATCTTCACATGCATACCCAGCAACCTTTACTTATGGAAGGGCTGAAAATCCAAGATGAAGATTATCCTAGCTCATGCATGCATGCATGTCAGCGTGAGGATGAAGATGAGGTCAGCAAATACTCTTCTCTAGGTATTTGCTAATCCTTACATATCCGCGTTGCGTTCCTTGCATTGTGCTTTTTTTTTGTTCTTGAGGATTTCATGTATAGGGATTGTCTTGGATTGGAAATTGGAATGGATTGGATTTGGGGGGTTTTCTTTTTTGGTTCGGGAAGGGGTTGAGTGTGTGGATATGGGTATGGATGTATTTATATATATGCATATAAATTTGACTAGGGCTTGGGTGATACGAGAGGTTTGTGTAAGTTATATGGATGGTAGAGGGTGATTACGAGATCATCTAGAACATTTAATATTTTTCTCGTGTTTTTGTTTTTTGCCAATCTTCTGTAACTCTTTTGTTTGTTTTGTTTGCGAGTCTTTATTTTTACATCTTCCTTGTTTTGCCTTCTGTTGTCGTTTTCGAATTTGTATCTCGTGAAGGATTTTACGACGTCGATCTGTTAGAAAACAGTTGGAATTTCGAGACTTGCATTTGTATTTGTGGTTGGGCCGTGATTGAATTGTGCTGCGCACACAGTTGGAAATACGAATATCGATAACAGACTCGTTACGAGGATAGGGCAGAAAAATAAAAAGGAAAAGGAAAAGGAAAAGGACAGATTGAGATATATCTCCCTTGAGGATTGTTGCCAATATCTTCAGCATTGTCTCGACGAAGAACGACTAAATCACCATTCATCTATTCACCCTTCGAATTCTTACCTCAATCCGTTCATCTCTAAATCCGCATCATCGATCACTCCAACACTACAAAATGCACATAACAACCACCTCCCTCCTCACCCTCCTCTTTTCCCTCTCTATCCCCTTTCCATCTCCGCGATTCCGACTCCCGCTCCCGCTCCCGCTTCCAAAACCACAAAGGAAGATCTGAGCTACCTAGCGGAATTATTCGCCTCCGATAGCTTAGCTAGAAGTTTCAAATTACGAGCCGATAGCAAGTTTCCTTCTTTCTTCTTTCCCCTTTAGAACGATCGCTAACCAATCTCCCCAGGTCAATTCCCCCTCGCAGACCCCTCTACAAATAAAAAGGTCTGCGGACGCGCATACGCGCGCAAAGAAACGGACACGGCGTTTTTTGGAAAACAGTGCTGTTGCATGTTTTTGCATACGAAGGATGGGGCGGGAGGGAAGAGGAAGGTAGAGAGGATTAATGGGGGTGGGTTGGTGGGGGACTGTTGGAGCACAGGGAGGGGGGATTGGGGTTAAGGTTGGGGCTTGGGGGAGGAGAAACGAGATTTTGGGGAGAGGGAGGGGGGGCGGAGGATGCGATGATTACTTGCGGGTTGGATGAGGGGACGGGGGTTTGTGAGGAGGTGTAAGGGGGAGAGGGTTCTTGGGGAAGAAGGTGGTGGGGGTGGTGATGGGTTTGTGAGTGTATCATGGGATTTGTTTTTTGTTAAATTTAGCGGGCGTTGAGAGATAGAGAAATGTTAAGGTGTACGGAGTGGAGTGTCTTGGTGAATGGGATAAAGTGTATACTAGCACATGCCAAACACATACTGGGTAGATATATGTAGATAGTTGTCCATACGGGATGCGGAATTCAAATGTACATAAGATTCGGAATTTCCAAATTCAAAAGATGAAAATGACTATTGTTCAGTACTTAGATATACAAGTACCAGCAAACATGGAAATATATTGAGATAACACACAAAACACAATTTCATTCATCTCACAAATAAAGTCAAGCACGCATATGCATTCAATATGTATTTCTGCAGCCCATATCTAAGGTAGGAGATACCTATCTTGAGGTAAGTGGTCACTGGGTACAGCCTCAAGTAGTAGGTTCCAGACAAAACCCCCCAAACCCCAAACCCCAAACCCAAAATTTCAAAATTTCCCACTGACACGGCCGGAAATAAGCTCTCCAAACGTCCTCTTATTCCCAGTCGATGTCTTTTCGTAAAATTTTGTCTCGTTTTGGAAGGATGTAGATGGATTGCACAGTGCAAATTTGTAGATGTGCAACAGAACTTTTGGTTGGTCATATGTATCACGTGCTTTCTTTACCGCTTGGCAGAATGGGGAATTGCTGAGGGAGAAGGGGGTTGGGCTTGGTGTGTAAAATTGGTAGTGGTAATGGTAGGTATGGATATGTGATAAATGTAGGGTTCATAGTTAGATATTGAGTTGGGAGGTAATGCGTAGGAATGGATGAGGTTGATTTGATAGCTTTTTTATTATAGAGTTACTTGATTTTGTATCTTGTATGTATGTATGTATGTCTGTATGTAAATACCACCTTCTGATCAATTCTAAAGAGCTACCGAATCCATACGATCCATTCTAACAAAATTCCAATCCCATGAACAACTGACCTACTACCGGTGTACAACTCAAAAAGAAATACCCAGTATCAAAGTCTCACGGAAGATGCGATCCTCAAATCTAGATTGAAGACTGTGAAACAGTTATTTGTCAATTCTCGGATGAAACATTATGGAATACCTACCTACCTACCTCCATACTACTATTGCACTCGCCACTCTAATGCGCGATTTACTCCGATCGTTCATCTATTTTCTTGGGCGAGTTTGCGGTGAGCTATCGGAAGACTGTCTCCTGTGATGTGAAGTGAAGATCTCTGGAGGTGAAGTAGCTCGAGTAGTTAACTGATACACCGATGAATAAGGAGTTGCGAATAATCTGTGCGGGATAATCACAGGCAGGTTCACATCCCAGCCTAGGTTTATAGTAGGTTATAGATTAATTTAACCACCACGTCAACATCCACTACTAGGAGATAACTTCTAATCCAAGCCTGTTTGGCGCAGTGGTAACGCGTAGCACTTGTAATGCTAAGATCATTGGTTCGATTCCAGTAATAGGCAATCTTTTTGAGGTTTTCATGTGTGTTGATTTTTTTTGCATTGAGCGTTTGTTTGGTTTTTGTGTTTATGGTTGTTTGGGGTTTGAAGAATGATTTGGCTCGTTTGTGTTACTGGACTTTTGTTCATTTGATCGGTGGAACTGGGACTCCAGGGGCTGTGGAGATGTGTGGGTTATGGATTGTGGATGTGGATCATGAATATTGGCCTGCATGCAACCTCTGTTAGCGGCACGATTGTGGATTCATATACATCGTACCGTGGTATTGATTTGATCTACATTTTGTTTGTGAGAATTCTGGCATGATATCTAGATAGAATGATTTTAGTTCGAATATTAACATCGAGTACGTACCTAGCTTTGAATGGCATCGTTTCTAAATCATCGCCTTTGAAGGCTCAAACTTGTCATTAGACGAGGTAGCGTCTCCTCGATCGGAGTGGATTTAGTAGATTTGAGACCCCGTTGAAGTTATCCGGGTCAGGTGATGTTGATAGAGCGTCAATATATAAAGTTATCCTTGATGATTGCTAGAAGGAAACGAATTGGATAGCTATAGGATCTCATTGAACAGTAAACAGGAAAGATATCTTCATATTGAATAGATCTCGAGAAATACGTAGAATTGACTTGTCCAGTTACATAATACCGGCTACTAACTTTGATCCATGAGCTCAATTGATTTCAACATCAAACCTCAGCATTGTCAAAACAATAAACAGAGGAATCAGAAATAAAATAATCCATTCGGTACCTACTGCTAATAGCAGGTACTCTCATCTAATTCTAAAGCTAATGGACACATTAAAAATACTCATAATATATAATACGTACGACATAACAGTCATGTCTTCCTCTTCTAAAACTTCAACCACGTAAACAAAAAGTGTAACCACAAGAAAGGTATCTGATCTTCTAAACATCGCTCTTTTCATGCATTCATTGCATTCAATAAAAAAATCCCAGAAATAAAGCGCCCAAACGACGGTTCTATCCCGCATTTGCAAACTGCTCATCTAAGCATCCGCCTTCTTCTTCGAGAACCAGCCCTTTTTCGCACCCTCTTTATTATCTTCTCCTTGACTAGCGCCCTTAGGTACTCTGACCAACCAATACATACCAATAGCACCCGCGATATTGAATGCAATATACACCCATAACAAGCCCCAATTTCTCCACACATCACTGTAATGACTGTTTACTGACGCCAAAAACACATTCGTCTCTTTGATACTACAGAACTCACAGTCTGTCATTGCTTCAGGATTGTTCAGATATCCACCCGCGACGCTTATGTATGCATCGAGGTACTCTCCACACGTTTTAGAAGAGGGGGGGTTGAAATGAAGATATTCGATAGCATCGCAAACCACTTCTGTGTTAGCGAGACCTGTAGACATCATTCCCGATACGAGATACGTGAAAGGCGAGACGCGATACATGAAAATCCAGAATCCAGGGAGAGCAGTGGGAGTCGCGAGGACACCGCAGAAAATGAGACAGAGAGAGAACATGAGATTGGCTATGTTTCCAGCGTTTTCGGCAGTATCCACGCCGGCAATAATGAAGTCGGCAAAGGTAGACGTGAACATTAGGAATGCCCAGATGAAAGCGAACATGAGACCGCCGCGTTCACTGATAGCATCGGTCATTTCAGCGTTGCGGTAGAGACCAATGGGGTAGTACCATGTGACGAAAATGATGACAGCCATAAGGGTATTCCATGGAAGTTCAACAATGATGTTAGAGAGGATGAAGACTTTCCAAGAGTACGTTTTAGAGGGGCGCTCGCGGACTTCGTAAAGGGAACGTTGGGTGACGAAGTGAGGTAGAATTTGTTGAACGAGGTTACCGAAGATAGTGAGAAGCATGAAGATAGCGAACAGTTGGTTTTGCATTCCTTGAAGAGATGTTTTGGTATCATAGAAAGAAAATCCGAGGAAGAGACCCTATTAATGATTAATCGCATGATTTCACGTGGGGTCAGACGAGGAGATGACTTACAACACATAGACAGAGCGCAGTCTTGGAGTAAAGATAGGGAGGGGTACGCCAATATTGTTGAAATACTCGAACAAGTACTACCTGCATTTGGGTTCCGAACCCTGCAGCAAATGAATTAAATGAAGTAGGATCATGCTCGACTTGCTTTTGAGACAGTGTAGTCTTCAACTCTGCGAGGTGCGACTTTACTTGCTGACGTTCCGGAGAATTTTTCCAGGTTTCAGCCCAGTCGATCGTATTGTTGGCTCCTGGAGAGGCACCGATGACTATATTGAATGTTAGTGAAGGCCACAAAAACGCTATTCAAAGATTGATCTTACCGTCAAGCATCCATTCTGCAGGGTTGGTTAGATCTCCACAAGGGTTGGCACCATTGCGCTCGAAATAATTGGTCAGGACCTTGGAATGCTCGCCAATTTCGCCAAAGTATACAGTTTTTCCACCTCTAGCTAAGAACAATAGACGGTCGAATTCTTGAAACAGAATGGCGGAAGGTTGATGGATTGTGCAAAGAATGGCTTGACCGTTGTCTGCAAGCTTACGTAGTAAAGCACAGATAGACCAGGCTGTTTGAGAGTCCAAACCAGAAGTAGGTTCGTCAAGGAATAGAAGAAGGGCCGGTTTTGCTGCAAGCTCAACACCAATTGTAAGGCGCTTACGTTGTTCGACATTAAGACCTGAATGAATTGTGAGATTAAATACCAAAAAGCAAGTGCAAATGGAGATGAGTATGTACCTTCACCTGGAACACCGACGATGGCATCGGCGTATTCTTCCATCTCCAAAACTTTAATCACTTCATCAACGTAGGCAATCTTTTCGGCATGTGGGGTGGCTTTGGGCTGACGAAGAACGGCACTGAAAGCTAGTGCCTCTCTAACAGTAGATGTGGCCAAGTGGAGATCCTGTTGCTGAACGTAACCTGTCTTTCTTTGGAAACCAATATCTCTTTGTCGTCCATCTACGAGCATTTGTCCGGTGACGACCCCCATAGTTACACGCGAGGCAAGGACGTCGAGAAGAGTGGTCTTTCCCGCACCAGAGACACCCTAAGAGGATTTGATTAGAAAGATCACGCGAGCATTGAGAGTTAAAAGAGCTTACCATAAGAGCAGTTAATGTTCCAGGTTTGACCCATCCGTCAACTCCGTCTAGTAGTTTCCTGGGCTCACCCTTAATCTTGATATCATAATGAACATCGTCCCAATGGAAAATGGCAGTTTGCTTCTGAATACTAGGTGGTGCGTCTGGAATAGTCTTTGTTCTGGTGACAGTCGCAGCAGTCATTCGGTCATCCATCTTTGCTTCCTCGTCAGATGCTTTCGAAACATAAGGTATGCGACCACGACGGAATAGAAGGACCTCTC